TAGCAAAAATGGCATAGGCAGTTCCGTTTGTGTCACTTGAATCCAGTCTTGCAAGAAAGCGCTAGGCAAAAGTCCAGAACTTGGATGAAATTTTGTTCTCAGTTAGTTACCCACTTACTCGATGACTGAGGTTTCAGTTACAGCTCAACATATAATGATATTTGACAAACTCCCCGCCCCCATCCACCAAAATACCGCCAACACAAAACAAGAACATATAACAAAAGGACCACAAAAGAAGAGGAAATACAATCTGAAGAAAGTCAATAAGCAGTTTTATATGCTATATCAAACACATGTTCACCATTCAATCTAATGCCAAGCATATCAGCAAACATATTTTACTACCAAATAAAACTCAATCATAAAAGGTGTTAACAGAAGCTGAGAGTTGATCACAATACCATATGCACAATGAACAAAAACCGGGATCTTCTGAGCTCTTTTTCGACAAGCCCATTTCACAGCAGCCTCAATATCAGCTGGCTGGGGTGACCTAGTATCCCATGTTGGAACACAGAAGTATGCATGATTTCCAGAGAGCTCCAACTTCCTTGGCAACTCACAAGTACAATCAATAATAGCAGGTCTACCTGGTGGCAGTTTATCAGGTGAAGAAGGCCACCCCCCTACATACAAACCCTCACATATCTCAGAATAAGGAGGCTCCCCACTTCTCAGTCTTCTCAATGCTGAGAAGGCCCTCACAAAGTACAAGTATGGGCTGAACATGACAAGGGACCATAGTGGGAAAGTCCCATCAGAGCCTTTGCCCAATAGGATTGGGAGATTGATTAATGGGTTAGAGGCTATTGAAACCAATAAAGATATAAGTGATGCATAGAGAACAGGGAATGATAACAGAACGAAACCAAGATTCCTAAGATACACAAAAATTATGAATAAAGTTGCTGCCTTTATCCCTACCAGCACAGAAATTCCGACACCCATTTTAAGTTTCCTGAAGAAACAACACAGCTTCTGAAGAAAATGAAGTAAATGCTGTGCAGAAGTGAAAAACTGAGAGAGTTCGAGTGACTTTTCTGAATATAAAATGAAGAGAAATTCACCGGTCGATCACTGAACGGAAGAGCAGATGCAATGGAGCGTATGGGCTGTTTGGCTCTGATCTGTGGCCTCGATGGCGATATCAACAGGAAGAAGCAAAGTACAACTAGCAAAGAATCCAAAGATTTCTCTGGAAAGTCCTTGTGCTTTTCTCTAATTCTTTTTTCTCCACGAAGTTCCATTAATTGCAAATTCTCGCCATTTCTTAGCCGTGATTATGATTGACAATTGCATCTATCCGTAAACATTTATCCTCATCTGAACTCTATGATTAATGATTCAAAGCACCCACCACAATGTAACATCGCCCTCTTGATGTGTGATGTGTTTGAGTGATAGATGTAGAGCTCTCATTCTAAATTTGACCAATATTAAGTCATATATATATATATATATATATATATATATATATATATATATATATAACCAAGATTATGTGATCTAATGGTATCCGAGTTGAATTTCCATTTGGAAGGTTGTAAGTTCGAGCCTCAGTGGAGGCGTTATTGGTTCTCTGTGTTTCAGTAGATTGAGAAAGAAGAAGTCATATATATATAATTATTATTTTAAGTAAGAGCCATTAGCATTCAAAAAAAAATCATATATATAATTACCTTAAAAAAAAAGAAGAAGTCATATATATATAATTATTATTTTAAGTAAAATTTTATTTGATCAGTCTCTTATATATATAACAAAGAATGTACAATAAATTAATCTCTGTGTTTCAGTAGATTGAGAAAGAAGAAGTCATATATATATAATTATTATTTTAAGTAAGAGCCATTAGCATTCAAAAAAAAATCATATATATAATTACCTTAAAAAAAAAGAAGAAGTCATATATATATAATTATTATTTTAAGTAAAATTTTATTTGATCAGTCTCTTATATATATAACAAAGAATGTACAATAAATTAAGTATGAAAATATCACAGAAAAATTAAATCTATTACATAGAATTAAATCATAGTCATTGACTTATTTAAATGAAATGTACATTTTTGATACTCATTTGATCATATATATATATATATATATATATATATATATATATTTATTTATTTATTTATTTATTTATTTATTTATTTATTTAACATTGGACATTAATATTGTGTTTTTTTTTTTTTTGTGAATTATGTATGGAGGCTAGTTTTTAAAATAAAAGCTGCAATTAATTTACGGAGTACTTTTCTATATTACTTTTTAAAAATATTTATATTTTGTAAGATAAATATTTAAATCTATCATTGATCTTTGTATATAAAATTCAATTGTAATTTTGTACATGTCAAAATTAATTTAACAATATAAAAAATTAAAATGTGAATGAACAAAAGACAATAATCCACACTTTGAAGAGGTGTCTTGTCAGTTTATCCCTCAATCAGCGAATAAATTTGTACACGCTTTAATAAGAGCAGCTCGTTCTCAAGCTGATTCTAGTGTTTGATTATCTTCTATTCTTGATTGTTTGCATATCTTTATTAATAAAAGTTATTTTTCCTTTAAAAAAAAAATCCATATATATTTTAAGAGCATATTCCTCTGTGGGCCCCAAAAGCTGACGCCACAAAGCACCTAACCCGCTAACCGTCTAACGCCGTTCGGAGCTCCAAATATAAAAATCTCATTACAGCAGCTTTTTGGCATTTTTCCTACTTTCGCTCTATAATCAGCGCCTCCCTGTCATTCCCAATGGCCATAGCCAACGCTTTCTTGACTGCAGCCTTTGCTCCGCCGCGATCGGCATTTCCCGACGCAGGATCCGATGCCGCCGATCAGCAGTTCACGCTCTCCAAGCTCTGCTTTCCGCTTCACCGTGGAATTTCCCGCTCTGGAACCGCTACTTTTCCCAGGAAAAAGTAAAAAAAGAAAAAAAACAAGACAAAAAGAACACTTAAAATTTTCCTTTCGCTTTTGCTGTTATTAGTTTTCAATTGTTGCATATACTTGTGTATTTTCCTGTCCAGCGAGAGAGAGAACAATCTGTGCATTTCGATTTAATCTGTTAAGTAGCTGGTGGATTACTGGCTAATTATTAGCTGCTGTTATTAGTATGTAAAGCGTTAGCATTCTATATGGTATGTATCGATATTTGTTTGGAATCAATAAATTCTGACAAAATTTAATCACATAAATACATAATCGTTTCTTAGCAAACTACTATTTGTTTGATATGCTGATTTATTTGAACAAGCACTGAAAGATGATCACGTGATTCACATTTATTATTCTGAACTGCAACTAATAGTTCAATACTTCAATGTGCAAATTGCAAGTTGGATTCATAGATAAATGTTTATATCGTCTCTGTTGACCTGGTGATATGAATATTGTGTAAGGAATTTTACAGGGTTGCTGTTTCTTGTACTATAGATGGCGTGGAATCATCCAGTCTTTCACAAGCAATGGTGAGTCAAACTCCTTTTCCAGCTTCTGTATATGATGTTTTTCTCTGATTGATTGCTTGAACATGTGCCATTATGTGACATAGTAAATACTAGTGTGCATCTTTTTACCAAAATTGCTGATGTTTATTGATGTTTTGGATTTCCTATTGCTTTACACTAGTATAAAGAGAATTTGGAATAATGTCCAAGTCTTGTTGAGCTTTCTAAGCATTTTCCAAGTTTGACTCTTATCATTTTTCATTGCCAAAGCCAGAATCTGAGTTCATTGTGAATAAGAGATATTAAAATGAAGGAAAGAACACTTCCTGAGCCATTTTTCAATGCCTTGAAATTGGAGACCAGATTTTTAGTATTTCAAGGTCTTGGAGCAGATAAGGCTTCATTCACAATATTTGAACCCGAGACCTTCCTTAAAGGGAACTAAACTCCTTCCACTTAGACTAGAGGTGGTTGGTTAAACCAACTATTTAGTTATCTGAAAAATAGTTACATAGACTGTTGGGTCACTTGTCATTAAGCTTTTGGCTTTGCTATCTTGCATGCCATATCCATTAATTCATTAAACTTCTTATAGAAAGGCACTGAATGCTCAGAGAAAAAGTAATAAGGCAAGAGTTGGGTTTAGGAATCTTGAAAATCTCCTCTTTTTTTTTTTTTTTTTTTTTTTAATTTTTTTTTAATTTTTTTTTAATTTTTATTATTATTATTATTATTATTATTATTATTTAATTTTATTTAAAAAAAATTATTTAAGGCTCTGATCTTTTTATAGTTTTTAGTTTCTACTCATTTATATTCATTGTAAAACTCATGCCTCAGAAAACACATTAATATTTCAAAAGCATGAACAGGACTCTTCTCTTGTTCCAACACCAATTGTTCAGATAATTCAAGATCCTGAAAGTGATGCAACTGCTGTGGAACTTAGCTTTGGAGATCGCCTCGGTGCCCTTATTGATACGGTGAAGTCATGGAGTACCTGATTAATTATGCACTTCTCTGAAATGTGAAAAGAATATCATAAATAAGACAAAACAATTCATTCACAGGATGTAACCATTTTTGCACCATTGGGCACACCTTGGTTTTTTATGAGCCGTTATGCATGCTGTTCAGTAACTTCATTTATTTCATCCTCTCTGTTTATAGTCTTTATCCAAATTTTGGTGTTGTTCAAGTGGAATGGAACTACGAGTAGTATTGAAAGCTTATAAAAGTGACATGAACATTAAAAGAGGTGTAGGATATTATTATTTTCCACGTCACTATCATTTTAGCTATTTAAAAAAAAAAAAAACTTTTAATTTTTTCTTTGTGGAATATATCTTTTTGAAGAATCTCAGTTTTTGCTGCTGTCTTAAGGAACAATTGGATAGTGCTTAACTAATGAGTTGGTACTTTCTCTTCTAGTGCAGATAAAGTCTCTGAAAGATTTAGGCTTGGATGTGAATAAAGGCTTTGTTACTACTGAGGGCACAGTGAAAAGGACTAGGTTTCTCATTACTCGGATGTAAGTAACCAACTTATTATTTTGGAAAAGGCATTGCTACCATGGTACTATAGTGGGATGAACAATTAGTTCAATCAAATTTTATTTTTAGTCCATGTTGCACCCATAATTCAGTTACACTTGGCATTTTAAAGACCTTGATTCTTTCTTTGTCATTTTTGTTTTATTTTTGGCATGTTACTCTTAATGTTGCATATGTAACCTGGCTGAGTTTGAGGGAGAATGTGTGGAGCGAGAGAGAGAGAAAATCTCTCTAAATCTCAATCTCTCTCACTGTATACTTTTGGAGTTTTGCCTCCTGCTGGTGTCTCTGGCCACCAGGGAGGACGGTAGGCATGTCTGCTTCTCTCTTTTTGTCCTTTTTCCTGTTGGAGGAGGGATCCTTGTCTCTTCCAGGTTTTGTGACTTATAAGCAATGTTGCAAAACACGTTAGGCGCCCCCTAGGCGGCAAGGGGGCGCCTAGGCGCCGATTTTTTTTATTTTATTTATTTTTAATTAAAAATAAAATTAAAAATTAAAAATTTTTAAAATTTAGTCATAAAACATAAGGTTTCCATAGTTATTTCTTAGAAACTATTTACGAAAGTGGTTGTAAAAGTGTTCAAAAGATTGTTTAAACCATCTAAATACATAAAAAAAACTAAAATTAAGAGCTAAAGAAGCATTTTTTTGAGAAATTAGTGGACCAAACCGCCTTCGGCTGTTTGTGGTGGATAGATCTCGAAAAAATACGCGATTTGAAAAAAAAAATTGTTCAAAACGGACAACCGAGTCAAAAGTTATGCCTTCCCGAACTTTTCGCAATTTAAAACGCAAAAAAAAAAAAAATAAAAATAAAAAAAATAAAAAAATTAAAGCGCCGGTTCAGCCGGTTAGGCGGTCGCCTAGCCGGCCGGCCGCGGAGGAGGCCGATTCCGGCCTTCTTCGCGGCGGCGGCCGGGCGCCTAGCGCCTAGGCGCGATTTTTGCAACCATGCTTATAAGAGCTTAAGATGGTGGAGTTTTTTCAGCTGTGGTGAGCTGTTTTGGCGAATCACTTTTGAAGGTTGTATCCATGTGATTTTTTGGGTCATTTGGTTCATGGAGGTGGAGGGGTGCAGGTTGAAAGAGGTGGTGATGTTGATGGGGTTGAGAGAGGAAGGTGGTGAAAATTGTGGTTGTGAGGTTTTTTTGGTGGTGGAGCTTATGGTGGATCTAGAGATTGCGTATGTGGTAGCCTTGAATTTGGAGGTTTTTGGGGTGATAGAAGTTTGGGAGAGGATGGTGGCGTTTGGTGTCAGTTTTCCAGCAAGGTTTAAGCATGAAGAAGGTTGGAGGACGGTGGCCAATGGTGTTTACTGTAGCAATGGTGATGCAAAGCAACGTGCTTAGGAAGGTAGACAAATAGTGTTGGTGGCCTTGAGTTGTGTATTTGATTTTTTTTTTTCCCACAAAATTTTATGGTTTTGTCTGCACACTGAGGTTTTGTTTTTTTTTTTTTTGTTTTTTTTGTTTTGTTTTGTTTTGTTTTGTTTTTGTTTTTGTTTTGCTATTTTTGTTTTGTTTTTTGTTTTTGTTTTTTGTTTTTTTTTTTTTTTTGTTTTTTCTGGCTGTTTGATTTTGTTTATTTGAGCTGACTTTGTGATCTTTCCGTTGTAATGTGTACTTTGATTCATTTGTAATAAATTTTTATCATTGTTTCAATTAAAAAAAGCTATAATATCTACGGGAAAGATGCCGAGAGTGCCATACTTCTTCATAAAGTGCCACAAGAAAATTGTGTAACTTTAAAATACCAGCTAGAAGCAAGATAATTTTTTTCCTATACTTGTATTATGGGGATGTGGCTTTGATGTATATCTAATGAAAATTTATGTATAGAAGTATAGAACCATGCTTCAAAATGGTTTGTAATACTCCAAAAGTGCTAGGAAGTTAATAGATAACAGAGTTACCTTCCTACACTTTTTTTTCCCCATATTTAATGGATTGTAGTTATTGCTCCTTAGAGCAACTGGGAGAAAAGTTGAAGATCCTGATTTGCTGGAAAGGATTCGTTTGACCATCATCAACAACCTTATCAAATATCATCCGGTATGTTTACCAAAGTGATTCCCTTATTGTATAAATTCTAAAGCTATCCAGAACCTATGTGCCAAAAGTTTATTCATGTACCCCTTAGAAAACCTGTACTTTATACTGTTCTTTCTTCTCAGTAATTATAGCTTCTTGTGCCATCAGGAGTCCAGTGAACGGCTTGCAATGGGTGAAGCTTTTGGAATAAAAGCACCAGAAAAGAAGGTGATAGTCTAAAAATTAGTTAATCCAACCCCTTTACCCTTCTCTTCTCTGTGTACTGTGTAGATATATTTGATATTCTTGTTACGCCACAGTATATTTTGTATGATATCTGTTTAAGATTCCCCCTCATTATTGTCCTCCTTTATGCTTTGTATTAAATAAAAGTCATTACTACTATTTTCTCTTCTTTCTTTTGTGTGTGTGTGTGTGGGGGGGGGGGGGGGGTGCTAGGGTGGGGGGGGGTGGAACTTTCCATATCTAAGCATAGAGCTGAAGCCACAAAAGCAGAACCTTTTACCTAGAATTCTAACAGAACGATCAGCAGAAAATTCTACCCTAAAGAACACCATTTGGGAAGGAAACCCCTTCCCCATTCTGTCCACTTTTAGGTCCAGCTTTTTCATTGCATACCCTTATATAACAGATAAGTGATTTCCTGCTGCTTTCTTCATTGTTCTCTTCCACCTGCTAGCTCAATTATCTACTCACAACCTCCTATCTGTACCATCTCTTTTGCAGAACTCTTCAACGCCCCAGGGAAGACTATATCTCCCACATCCTCATTTCCCCCTACAAGTTTATTCTTAATCAATACATTCTATGGATGCTCTTTAACAATGGATTTAATCCTTTCTTGTTTCTTATTTTTCATGTTCGCTGGAATTTTATTCTCATGATTCACAGTTATTGTCTCATAAATGAAATATCAGTTGAAACTTGAAAGTAAAGGTCATTTATCTCATGATTCATAGTTGTGGACTCATAAAGAATAAATAAATAAATAAATAGTTTTTGACTCCCAGATTCTTTACAATATTCTGTCTTCCTTCATTATAATTATTGTCACTGTTTATATGTCATTGTTATAGCTGGGTGCTGGGGTTCAGATTTTGATTGAATTTAGATTGTAAGATTGTGCCTAATGAGGGCCTGGATCTTTTTTTTTTTTTTTTTTTTTTTTTTTCCATCTTTTTGGTTGTGGTTGGGTTTCCCTGGGGGAGAGAGTAATCTATTTGAGGTGCTACAGTTTCATAACCTTGGGAATTTGACTTGTCAACTAATGGCAGCCTGACGTCGATGTTGCAACCCACATACATGTCAAGAATGAAGGAACTAAGAAGAGGTGAGTGTTCTTTGAGATGCTAATATAACTCCTATGGAGAGTTATAATGCTGAATTTTTCAGTTTGTTCAGTGTTGTAAATTGTGAAGTGGTTCTCATTAACCAATATGTTGAGCTAACATAATAAAGCTTATGAGGAATTCTTTTTTTGTCCATTCCAGCATGCTATATGTTGAAACTGCTGATCGATCTGGGTTGCTGATGGAAATAATCAAAATTATGGCTGATATTAATATTGATGTTGAATCAGCGGAAATTGATACAGAAGTATGCTCTATAGATGCCACATATGTATGAAAGTGAATTCATATATTTGTATCCTTACTTATGCACTATCCTTCTCTTCTTCCCTATGTAGGGTCTTATAGCGAAAGACACGTTTTATGTCAGTTATAGAGGGGCAGCATTAAACGATTCCCTGTCTCAGGTAACTATAATCAATTAGCATTTTATAAAGTAGCTTATACTTGTATCAGGAACTTATGCATAGTCATCGACCACTAAGGCCTTAGTAGATTGCACACCAACACAGCCCACCACTTTTCATGTTGAGTATCAACCTATCAAACTGATGTCTTAGAGAAATTAGTTGACCTTGGTAGAGTATGGGATGCAAGTTCATAAAACTAACTCTTTTATGTGCTTGCAGCAATATTTTCAATTTTCTTTCTATTGTCTCTCCCCCACCCATCTTAGAAGTTCACTTCTGAAATGCAGGTGCTTGTAAATTGCCTACGTTACTATCTTAGAAGGCCTGAAACAGATGAAGACAGTTATTAATCAGCAGAGAGACTTGTGCCAGACTAATCAAGCATCTTTTCTACCAATCTCTGCATTGGCTCGAGTCACCTCATTCGGCCCTTATGTGTAAACGAAAGACAGAACTCCCCTACTCTATGTCTGTGTGTATGTGTCTATGAAGCATGCTGCTACAGTGCTTCTCCCCTTTTATATACATATCATCAATAGACTTGTGACCTGCACTGCATAAATACACTTCTCTAGTTCACGACTTCATGTGATGTTCACCATCACTTGTATTCTCCCATTACTAATGATGATTGTGATTGTCAAGATATACCACATTGTGCACTGTTCCTCATGTTCTTATTGTAAGAGGACAAGTGTATTGAATGTAGAATACTGTTTTCCAAGTTTGACCTTGTTTTCGTTATGAGTTTTGTTTCACTTCCATTGTTTGCATCGTTCAAAATAGGGGAATAGTAATTGAGTTTCTTTGTTTATGTTGAAAGTAATAATGATGTTGGACATAGTAACCCTAGTAGTTATGGTCTTAAACCCTATATTTCCACTAACAATTTTTGCTGTCTCAAGTTTTAGCTTCTACGGGTATGTAAATATTGGTTCTCTAATCTCTATACATTAATACATAGAAAGTACAGTAGTCTTTTCTACTTTGCTTGGCAACTTGATATCATGATGTGTGAAGGTGTAATAGAATGTGCCTTTTGGTTTACATCAAAGGTAACTCCTATAGTAGATTGTATGTGCAAGCATTGCTTGATTAGTTTCTAAAATTTCTTTCAGTTGTGGAATGCCTTTTTCGAATTTGATTATAGTCAGAGTTTAATCTCGTGGAAGCTTGGTTGGTATAGAAATTAATTTTCAGGTTTGGAGTAGGTGAATAAAGTGTGTGCAGCAGGTGGTTCAGAGTTTTGTTCATGATCTAATCAATTGGTTTCTGAACTATTACTTTGGTCCCCCCCCCCCCAACCACCACCACACACACATACACCCTTAAAGTGGCCTATATGCTCTTGTTCTCATCATGTTTGTAGTCATCATTTATCTTGCTTTTGTCAAATGGGCTAGTTATGACTTGTGATGAACATCGTGTGATATTATATTCACTTGTCTTTTAATATATAAGAGAATATCAGATCTCCACCTTTCAAGATTCAATTAAAGAATTTCAGAAATCCTCACATTGTGCCATCATCTGGCACCAAGACAACAGCAGCAAGACAAGCAATGCCATGTTCAAGCTAACTACTCCTGAGACATTGTTAGCGTTATTATCTGTACTTTATTGAGTCTAACCAATAGGTTTTGGTACACTCAATTGTTCAAGTTGGGGAAGGTCATTTGGTCACTTCTCGCCTACTAGTCATCCAGTCTTTTACCAGATAAATCATCTCATATCATTTAGCGCATTAATGGTAATGTTTTTTACAAGTTTTTTTGTGGGCTCCAAATCTCCAATTTATTTATAATATAATAATAATAATTGAAATTAAAAGGGAGGAAAATTGGATTGTTCACTAGGCTGGCAATCACTCTAATCACATAGTGGGCACGTGAAGAGCACGCACCCACTTGGCACCTTTGGTACCTTGCGTGAATATACTAGAACTATCATATAGAGGGCGGGTTCATGGAGTCCATTAGGTTGGCAATGGCTACAAGTTGGGGAATAAGGGTATAATAATAGTATCTTCATTTATAAGCAAACTACTTTACTTGGAAAGCACAGTATGTACATGCCTTACTAATAATTACTAGAGAATTCTTTTGGTTCAATATATATATTCCTCAACAGCTACAGCAGCAGTTGCCAGTTGGTGCATGAAGAATCACTCTCATGACTTTAGGCTCAAGAAGATTAAATTCCAAGCAGAAGTTAGTTGGGGGGTGGAGTGCTAATTATTTGTTTAAATGCCCCGCCCTTGATTCCTTAGAATCATATCACCCATCTTTAGCCATTCTTGAATATTGAGACAAGAACATAGTACCAACCATGTTCAGTACTAAGATGACAGTTTTTTTAGTTCTTCTCCTTCAGAGCTGCATAGCCTTGGCATCTGATCCTGATCCAGTCCATGACTACTGCATACCAATACCCGAATTTTCATCAATCTTCCCATCTTGCAAGAACTCATCCCTAGTCACAGTTGAAGATTTTGTCTATTCAGGCGTTAAAAACCCCGGGGATTTCAAGAAAACCGGGTTTGCATCCATCCCGGTGAGCTCAGCTGTCTTCCCAGGCCTGCACACACTAGGCATGTCGTTTGTTCGTGCTGATTTTGATGCTGGTGGGATTAACGTGCCACATTACCATCCCAGGGCCACTGAGACCGCGTTTGTGCTGGAGGGGAAGGTCTATTCGGGGTTTGTTGATTCATCAAACAGAGTTTTCGCGAGAGTTGTGGAGAAGGGGGAGGTGATGGTGTTCCCGAGGGGACTGGTTCATTTTCAGATGAATGTTGGTGATTCCCCTGCTAGTATACTGGGGAGTTTCAACAGCCAGAATCCAGGGTTAGTGAAAATCCCTAATGCTGTGTTTGGAAGTTCCATAAAAGAAGAGTTGCTGATGAAGGCTTTTGGGCTGAGTGATAAGGAAGCTGATAAACTGAGAAAGAGGTTTGTTCCTCAGTAGTTTGCTGTGTACTTAGATTATGACAAATTGTTGTCCCAATCTCTTCACTGTTTCTTGATTTAGTAGTTGAATGTTAGAAATATTTCTTTAGACTACTGTCATAAGTCTGCAAATTCTATCTTTCTTGTTTTGTGTGACAAGGAAAACTCGTAATCACTACTTAAGAGTATGCATTAGATAAATCCTGACTTGTGGTCCTAGTTAGTGGACCCCACCTTGTGGTCCTAACTGGTATGCATTAGATAAATCTTGACGTGTGGTCCTAGTTAGTGGATCCTACCTTGTGGCCCTAACCGGTATGCATTAGATAAATCCTGACTTGTGGTCCTAGTTAGTGGACCCCACCTTGTGGTCCTAACCGGCAAAGGATCATAAGAAGGTAAACTATGTGTTTTTGATAAAGAGAGAAACCCACAACCACTACTCGATAGTGTGCAGTGGGTAAATCTCGCCTTCTGATCCTAGCCGGCAAAGGATTACAAAGTGGTAAACTAGTCTAGGTTGTTTCGGTCTTATTTTGTTATATATGGTAAGAAATTGCTTTAGAAGATGACACCATCATTTCATCCAAAAGAGAAGAAAGAACATAATGAGAACCCATCATTTCATGGAAGGTGAGAAGCTGCAATTAACATTAGTGCATAGAATGCCACAATTAACTCAAGTCAACAACTTTTCACAAAGAAAGAAAGAGAAAAGGGAAAAGAAACTCAACAGATCTTTTGAGACAAGAGATCTCAATGACCCATCCCTAGAGCTTATACAGCATGAGACACCTTTCACACTTAGAGACAAGCTAAGGCTCTAGAGCATGGCATTCAACATCTCATTCCAAATATCGGGCACGCCAGGAAGGCACCAGTGGCTACAATCGGATTTGTAGCCTCGGAGGTGCTGCTTCTCTTCTTGACCTACGACTTTACCATAAACGGAGGGATGAGCGTCTCTTCTAAACGCTGACATTGTACTGATATCCTGCAAATACACCGGGAAGTTCATCCTTCTCAGCACCTGTTTTAGTACCACCAGCTGTTGAGGTACTCGGGGGCGACTAAAGTGCTCCAGAGGCTCCCTCTCGTTGAAACATTTCCACCCGTTTTCTCTAAACAAACCATTCACAGCAAACCGTAAGATTTCAAAACATAATTTCATGCATATATTCACCATCCTAGCTACCTGTTATGCTTAGGCGACATGCTTCTGAAGAAGACTCGGCTTTTCCTGGGATCGACGTTTAAGTCTATCCATTTAGCCCATGTCATGAGCCCTTTCTCATAGGCAACCATAGGGTTCATATATCTGAAGAAATTGGTACCCTCCATAATATAATCCCACCTGAAAATCATACAATCATATTCTCTTCTAAGTAGTTAAAATCAAGAAGAAGTTTAAGAGGAAGTTCAATCAAGACTTACGAGCTCCGGTTTTGAGAATGAGTCCACCAATGAGCTGAATCAAACACAAGCACATCAGAGCCTCTCCAGTACCTTGCATTCTCTTCTATCAAATCAAGATGCAGTATTCTCTTGTTTTCTGCTCCTTGCTTCAATTCCACGAGGAATGGAGCCCAGCAGAACTCAATGGATGTCTCGTAATCCTATGAAACACACAAGGGTTTGTAATTAACTACCTAGGTAGATGCTAGCAGTCAAGAAAGACAACCTAGTACAATGAGCAATTACAACCAGATTACTTGGAGTTAATCTGAGTTGGGAAGTTGTTAATTACCAGAGCATGGAAAGCCATGGAAGGTCCATTGTAGGTGACAGTCTTTCTATCAGTGGGAATAACAGATTGTACTAAGCAAACAAGAGACTCCCATTGATTCCTCATTATAGAATCACCCACAAGCATTATTCTTTTCCTCCTCATCCTCCCCAGAAACTCCAATGCATCAAACCTACAATATCCAAAAATATCAAACACTTCTTTTCTTTAGTGACGAGAGAAACCGTAGCCTCAGGTGTGTACTAGGCAAACCCCACCTTGTTACTGACTAGGTAAACCAGCCTAGATTGCTCATAGCTAACTAGTTCAAATCAAGAAAGACCAATAGGTTGTTCTCTGAGAATCAAATTTGTAATCTTATAGTTACAAAGTTAACTGCCTAACCAACCAACTTAGGTCGAGTTGGTAAACCAGACTAAGTTGCTTATAGCTAATAGGCTCAAATTAATGACCAAAAAGTCCAATAGACCGCTCTAGCTAGAAATCAAACTGGTAATATTGTAGTTACCAAGTTAGCCTACGAACAAATAAACTTGGATTGAGGTAGTCAACAAGCCTGTCATAACTAACCAGCTCAAATCAAGAAGAACAAAATAACCAATAGGCCGCTTTGAGTAGAAATCAAACTTATAATCTTATAATTACCAAGTTAACCGGCTAACCAACAAACTTATGTGGAGTTGTCCCTAAATATCAAACACTTTTGCTCAAGGTAGAAGCAGATAATGAAAAGCGACAAAATTAATGGCGGCAGAAGAGAGTGGTCGGCCGGAAATTAGTAGTACCTGGGAATGGTGCAGCCATCTGGCTTCCATTTCCACTTTTGGTAGTCGGAATCGGGGCGGCCGTTCTTCGAGCACGAAACGGCGGTGCTAAGATATGGGCAACGGGCGGGGTCGTAGAGAGGGTAAGATTGATCAAAGACCCATTTTCCGGTGGAGAAATCGCAGCTTCTGAGGGATGCATGGCGGCTCTGGACCATGCTGATCTCGTCGTCGTGGTCGTCGCCGTCCAGCCATGACAGTTCCTCTATTTCGTACGGCGAGGACTCTGCGCAGAAGAAGAAGCTCGAGAGAAGAAGGAACACGAAGAAGAAGAAGAAGAAAAGACAGAAACTTTTCGCCATTAATGGCAATGTAGGAGGAAAGGTGGAAGTGTAGCAGAGAGTAGAGTCAGTAGTGGGACTGGGGGGGACTCATCACGCCCATGGTGAAGCTCCTTTAAAGCTCGTCCATGGTGCACTTTAAAGTGGAGAAATTGAAGGGCCTCGCGGCGTGACTTGCGCTGCTGGGTGGGACGCACAATCAAATGCATCATCCATTCTTGCTAACTCATTACTGTCCAATTTTGCATTATACTTGCAGAGTTACCGGAGATGGGTTAAACAATAAATTATACACAAAATTTTAAGGTGACATCAGTGTGTTTTACCCCGCTTATGACCGTGTTTGGTTAATTAGACTTTTTGTAACTTCAAAATACTAAAATTAAAAAACTATCCAAAACAATTTTTTCAATTAGCTTTATGAGAAAGGAAATAATACCAAACAGTTATCAGCTAACAGCTAATTTACCAAACATCTTTCTAATTAACCAAATCGACTAACAACGAACAGCTATGCCATTTACCAAACAGGGTCTATTTGTAATATAATTCAGTAGATCTTGTTCTTGTATAATAGCACACAATCACATTAGATAGACCTTTTTCTTCCTAGATAGACTTTGCATCAATCATTATACAATGGAGTATCGTTTACCTTTAATTTTAAGGTGAATTACCGACATAAAGTTCATTTTTAATATATTGAATATTTATTTTTTGAAAGTTTATTTTTTGTGTGCTAAAAGTTTATTATGTGGTATACTACCTATAAAAAAAAATTCAATACATTAAAAATAATATTCAATATGCTAAAAATAAACATTTATCCATAGTCCATATTTCAATATAGAACATGGTTCACAATATAATTTCCCACCCTACACTAGGTAGATCTCATTCCTTTGTAATAGATCTCATGGGTAGACTTCATTGTTGTGTAATAATTAACTCACAAACCACACATGAGAGGTAACTTGCATTAAGAATACCTTATGTGACGGACTCGATCGAAAGGGTGTTAGTAAAAATTGAACACGTGACATTTTGATACGAAAATTATGTTTAACCACTCACCGAGTCATTTTGAGACTAATTTTTTTATTTGATTTTATTGGTGATTGATGTGCATAGTTATTTTCTTTTATTTGTTAGACATTTCTACATTGAGTAATATTGTTACAAGCTAATTCATATTTTTTTTTTTTAAAAAAAAGTATTACAATTAAAATTAGTGTACATATAGTAGGTGAATTACTGGATAGTTGTTGACAAATTATAAAATTTGACAGTGAGAATAGTGAAGCAAGCAAGGATTAAGTAGCCTAAAATTGGGGGTGGTAGGCCATTCACTTTTCTATTATTTTAGTACACTATCTTTTTTGTTTTGACTGTCTAATCTCTACAATTTACATTTTATTTTTTAAGAGTAAATACCCAAAATAGTCCATCGACTATAGCTAAATTTACAAATTGGTCCTCGACTTTCAATTTCAACCAATTAAGTCCTTAACTTTACAATTTTGACACAATTTAGTCCTCCATCTATTTGACCGTTTGTTGACCGTGATCGACAATCTCCAGAAGAACCTTAAACTCTCGTCTGAGCACGTGGAGGCCTCCAGGATGACGTTGCACCGATTTGGAAACACGTCGTCTTCTTCGCTCTGGTATGAACTCAACTATATTGAATCCAAAGGGAGGATGAAGAAAGGCGACCGGATTTGGTAGATTGCTTTCGACAGTGGATTCGGATGTAACAGTGCGGTCTGGAAATGCAATCGGAACCTTAAAAAATTGACGATGGACCATGAAATTACATATATATCCTCAAAAATCACAGTCAACAAACGGTCAAATAGACAGAGGACCAAATTGTGTTAAAATTACAAAGTTAAGGACTTAATTGGTTGAAATTGAAAGTCGATGATCAATTTGTGAATTTAGCTATAGTCGAGAGACCATTTTGGGTATTTACTCTTTTTTAAATAATATATGACTTAAACGTGTCTTGATTTTATTGATAGAAGAGAACGAGAATAATAAAAACTATAATCATTCACATACACACTTGATTTATGGAGTTAATATGTGTTGTTGATTTATAATATATACCAATATACCATTTTTTTGGGGTGAAATATAATATATACAATTAGTTGTGGTTTAATAATAATAATAATAATAATAATAATAATAATAATAATAATAATAATAATAATAATAATAATTATTATTATTATTATTATTATTATTATTATTATT